CGAACAACACTGACTCTAATTCGCGTTTGATTTTAATTTATTACTCGCCCGATCACTGATTTTACAACTAATTCAAAGACCGCATTGCACGCAGTCAAATGCAAGAACAAAAATTTCACTCGCGGTCACTTCACATGGGCCATTCAGTCCAAGACACCGACCCGTACTAATGCAATTGCTTCGCACACGATTGCAATCTGAAACAGAAATAAAAAACAATACTATTAATATCATTACTATTACAAAAAAGTATTTAAACTTTTGAGGTATTATTTAATACAAAAATATACTCACTTTGATGAATGCACGATGAATACACGATGGGTCTCCTACCCTTACGATGACGATGAGCACACATTTAAACCGAATAAAAGAAACTTGCGTGTTTCTTAACCGAGCAAACGAAATTTTAACATGCGACGATCAACACTGAATCTACTCTCCGACTTTTTTATATTTTATTTTAACACAATGCAACACACGAGTATTTCATTGCCTACACGCACGATTGCAATGTTCTGAAATAAAAAAAGAAAAAGAACAATTAATGCCATTGTCGTAATAAAAACCTATTGAAATTATCATAGAAATGTTTAATAGTAAAACATACTTACTTTTAGTCTTGATTGATGACTGCAGGATGGGTATCCTACCCTTAGGATGACGATGTATAAAATAAAATTAAATAAAAAGTCTGAAAAGCTGAAACATACTAAAGACTATATTACAATATTTCCTGCAAATCATTTCTGAAGGTAGGGCACACATTAAAACCATTGAATATTTTTGATAAAGTATTAAATTAAATTTTATTTATTGATTAATTTAATTATTGATAAACTATTAAAATCAAAACGATGAGGTTAGAAATAAAATTATTAAATAATTTAATGCCTAGTTATCGCTGCCGGTCTTTACGTGTCGACGGACGGAAGAGGAAAGAGATACGAAATTACGTTTACCCTTGAAAGTGTCGAACGTTCGGTGCTCGGTACTCGGGTACTCGGATACTCGGTTCGGGGGTACTCGGGTGCTCGGTACTCGGTACTCGGTGTTCGGGGGTACTCGGGTACTTGGTGCTCGGGGGTACTCGGGTACTCGGTGTTCGGGGGTATTCGGTACTCGGTTGTTCTTCTTTTGTTGTCGGCTGTTTTTTGTTTATTTTTGTCTCGAGAATTTCCTAGAAATATATAAACACATTTATGAATGCCTGCAAGTGGAATTTTTGCATTCTTTCTCTTTCTATCTCATATCATACTCTTTCTATTATACTTCTTTCTGCTTTTTTAGACTTACCTCGATAGATGTTAACATAAAAAAAGGACGATTCTTAGAATGAGTATTCGTATTGGATTCTTACAATGCTCGGAAAACTAAAAAAATTAAAAAACAAAATTACATTAGTACAATATAAAGGAAATCAAATATATGAGTGTACGTGTACGAGTTACCTATACTTCTACATATATGCCTATATGTATGTGTATGTGACAGAAATCAAATTTAATACGATATACGATTTTTGAAGACATAATTATGAAAAATAATTAAT